TGAACATCATCCACGTAGAGCCACAGCAGGATGATGCGATTGCCTCGGGTGTCGCCAATCACAATTTCCACGTGGGACATCGGTCCCGCGACGATCCCGATTTCCAGAAATTTGTACGCTGCGGATGTTAGTGCAAATGTCCTCCCCATAATGTTACGTGTGCTGCAATAAACAATAAATGAATAATTAAATTTTTTTAAAATAAAAATAAAACAAAAAAAAGTAAAACATTTTTTCATAGATAAAAGTGATATACTTACAATGCTTGTTGATTATACGTATCCATAGCGCTGGAGATTACAACCAAATGAATTCTTGAGAACGAGTGATGCAGTAATGTTGCGCGAACTGCTTTTAAACTCTCCAACGTTATTAATTTTCGATATCAATAAATTCACACCACTATAAAGGCCGTTTATCGCATCTTTTATCCCCATAATCGAGGGAATCACCTAAACAATATTTCCCTTTTTTCCAACATATATAAATCCATGTTTTTGTATATGTTAATTTATTATTCTTATAAGTATTCTCAATATAACCCTCTTGCAATTGTGAATGTCTCTGACACCAAGTATTAGTACGCGTCAGCACGTTGCGGTAACCGAGTTCACGATTGTGAAGTAAATGCGGAATCGATGAACAATGACGGTTAGACATCTTTGCACAAAATGGTGGAAACTAAACTCTCGATTAACGAAGTGTCTTCGTAGAATCTTTTCGACGACTGCAGTGGAAAACTAAATGTGACTGTTGAATCCGCCTGCATAAGGTTTTAGTTGTCTAACGCTTATTGGATACCATTTTTTCTACAAACTTTTCAGTCACCCATTGGCGAGTTTAGTTTTCTTCGTCTTCTGAGAGAGGGGGATTTATCATCCTTTCCGAGCGATCTAATTATGATTCATTTTGTTCTTACGTGAGTTTTCATATTTTCACTTTTTTTTTTTCTTCTTTTTTTTATCATCTATTTCTCTTTTATTGGCTAGACATACCTGTCTAGACATGTACGTTCTTGTTTGAACAGAATTTACCCCTATCTGATTTACGACATTGTTCGAGATCGACGGTTCTCAGTTTAAAAGCTATGCTTTTGTGTTATTCTGTATACTTAATTTTTTTTTGTCACATTCGAGTGATCTAGTTATGATTTATGTTATCCTTAAGTGAGTCTTTCATATTTTCACTCTTTTCTTTTTTTATCACCGATTTCTCTTTTATTGGCTAGACATATCCGTCTAGACATGTACGTTCTTGTTTGAACAGAATTTACCCCTATCTGATTTACGACATTGTCCGAAATCGATGGTTCTCAGTTTAAAAGCTATGTTTTTTGTTTATTCGTCATAAAATCGTGGATTCCACTGGGCGTAACACTTAATGTATGCGTCGACCAATGATAGTTAATCCTCCTCAACTTCGACTATGATTCGTTGAAATAAAAATATTCTCGAATTTTCATGAAATGCAACACCCACCTTTAGTAGCATATAAAAGTAGAGAAATCGGTACACACCCTGTCAGTAGCCGAGTTGAAAGATTTTGAGAACTTTATTGCGTCTTTATCGCGTTATATCAAGTCTTTCCGAGTGTTTAATTGACAGTGTTCAGTTTCGAGTGTTTATCAATTTTTCTTGATATGGATCAAACGGAACGCGAGTTAGTGGAGCAAGCCGCTCAGTTGAATACGCGAGAAAAATACGTTGCGTGGGAACAGGGACGAATTTATCGAGTCGCTGGAGGAGCAGAGTCGAGCCAAACGCCCTCGATTATCGATTGGCATTAAACAATCGTTAATCGCTCGTATCGCGCGACTTGAATGTTTAAAAGATTCGGTGCGCGATTGTTTTGTGCAAGTGGGTGCCGGGTACAACGCGGGACTTCGATGGCGCGAGATCGAAACGGCGTTCGAAAGCCGTATATTGACCGCTGCCGTGATAAACTCTAGGCACATCGAGTCTCGCCAATTCCTCGAAGACGCGAGTGAAATTGTGCTGGAACTTGTGCGAGACATTATGCAGAGACATAATTCTGTAAAGATAAATACAGTATTTAATGGTGAATTCGTGGCGGGTGGCAAACGCGCGAACAAGAGCATCGCAACCAGAAACTTTGAACTATGTCGATGCACCGATCAGCGCGAATGGTACGTGTCACGCGTCGTCGAGCCAATCCTGGCATCGCTGAACGAATTCCAGGAACGCGATAGTGGATGGGCACTGTCGCGTATATTGAACTTGACTGTTAACGCGAATAAACTAAATCCTCTGCGCGCGAGATGTCGAATTGATTTACCGAAAAAAATTAAAGACAAGAGAGCGATTGTTAATGTATGATCCATGGACAATGCATGTTTTGCGTGGTCGGTGGTTGCCGCTCTGCACCCGGCTAAAAATCGTACGGAGCGAACGTCTTCGTATCCACACTTCTCATCGGTACTGAATCTCCAGGATATTCAATTTCCGATGACATTACAACAAATTACGAAATTTGAAGCTTTAAATGACATTTCCATCAACGTATACACCATCGAGAATGGAATCGTATAAGACTCACCGACCGAAAGAGGAGCAAGCATGTAAATCTCTTGTATGTGGAGGATGACATCATGGGACACTTTGTCCTGATCAAGAACCTGTCACGCCTCGTAGGATCGCAACTCAGCAAATCTAAGAAAAAGAAATATTTCTGTGATAGGTATGTATAATAATAATAATAATAATAATAATAATGATGATGATGACGTGTAATAATAATAATAATAACAGTAATACTAATAATAATAATATATTTTTATTCTTTTTTTTTCCAGATGCTTGCACTACTTTGGCTCGAGCGCTAAATTGGAGACTCACAGCACGGATTGTGGAAAAATGAATGACTGTGCGATAAGGCTGCCGAGCGAGGACGACAAGTGGCTGAGCTTCCGCAACCACTGCAGGAAGGAGCGCGTCCCGTTTGTAGTCTACGCCGATTTGGAGTATGCACGGGAGAAGACGGATACGGAGTCCACATCAGTTACGTAGGCTAGTCAAATTATACATTTGAGGTTTCAAGTGATGAGAACAGCTCAATTCCTTTTGGGGGCTGTTGGGGGGTCTAGTAGAGTTTATTTCCAGATTTGCGTATCATGCGAGGTTGTGGAATTTTAAGGGGGGCCTGGAAAGGGAAAATCATGTTTTTTGTCCATAACTCGGTCAATTTTGACCGTACAGGTCCACTAAGCGCTCATTTTGAAGCTTTTTTAAAGCCCTACAACTCTTGTATACTTGAAACCTAACCTAAAATTAATATTTTCTGAGAAATAAGCGGTGAAAGTGGAAAAAAAATTATTTTTCGCGGGATTTTGCATTTATTTCATTTCCGTTAATAGATAGCGATCTGCCATAAAAGAAAAAGTTGTAGAGCTCGAAAAAACGAACAATTTGACCCCCTAGTCGATTCGATGCGATGAAAATTCGACCCCAAAGGAGCCTCCCTGTCCGCTTCCTGTCCGTTGTCGATCGTCGGCGACTCGGCGGCGTTGGCAAACGTGCGTTTCGAGTGCTCGGGACTCCGCGTATTTTCTGCTTCTCTTTTTTATAAGTTTTGTCGCGATAATAATTATATATCGTGGTTCGCGGACGAATTAAAAAATTTAGCACATAGTGTAAAGACTATAATTTCAACAAATGTTCCTATGGCAGATTTTACGCGCGATGACTGGCAAAAATTTAACTGCACCACGCACTGCCACATGTGCGAAAAAACGTTCGCGAAAGACGACAAGCGAGCACGCGATCATTGCCATTTGACCGGGCGATACAGAGCCCCCGCGTAAATTGCAATTTAAATTATAAAGATTCACATGCATACCCGTAGTCTTCCATAATTTATCAGGATATACGACGCTCATTTTATTATCAAAGAAATAGCTGCAGCGTACGAAGGACGCGTTAATCTTTTACCGATAACTAAAGAAAAATATATCTCATTTAGCAAACACGTCGATAGCACCATAGATGATAAAAAAAATTGCATACAATTACATTTTATAGATTCATATAAATTTCTCGCTTCAAGTTTAGAAAAATTAGCATCTTTTCTCAGCAAGGATAAGCTACGGGTAGTGCAACGTAAATTTTGTAATTTATCTGCAGAAAATTTCGACTTATTGACGCGAAAAGGTATATTTCCGTATGAGTACATTGACAGTGTTGAAAAACTGGATGATACATGCTTACCACCTCGCGAATCATTTTACAGTTCATTGACGGATAGTACGGTATCTGAGAGTGATTACGCGCACGCCTTGAACGTATGGCAGCGGTTCTCCATCCGAACCCTCGGCGAATATAGTGATTTATATTTAAAAACGGACGTTTTGTTGTTGGCCGATGTCTTTGAGAATTTTCGAGATAGTTGCGTTGCGAGATACGGGCTCGAGCCCGCGTATTATTACACCTTACCGGGCTTCACGTGGGATGCCATGTTAAAACATACTCGCGTCAATTTCGAACTTCTTACTGACGTCGACATGGTTCTTTTCATCGAACGTGGTATACGTGGCGGTCTGAGCCAGTGTTCAAACAGATATGCGCAGGCCAATAACAAGTATATGCAATCGTATGATCCGTCGAAACCGTCGACATACTTGATGTACTACGACGTCAACAACTTGTACGGTTGGGCAATGTGTCAACCATTGCCATACACCAATTTTCAATGAGTCGACGATGTAGAAAATTTTGATGTTACGACCGTCGCGCTCGATTCACCGACAGGCTATATTCTCGAGGTGGACTTGGAGTATCCGCAACATCTTCATGATGTTCACGCGGACCTACCGTTTTGCCCGACGCGCGAGAAACCACCCGGTAAGCGTATAACCGGTATGTATATAAAGAATTATACAATTTATAATAAATTTATTATTATTTTTACAACACATATTATCCTTATATCTACATATAATTTAATATGTAGGTATAAGGATAATATGTAATAAATATTATTATTTTTTATAGCACGCTATCCTTGTGTATCCAAGAGTTGTGTGAATTATCGAATCCTAGCCATTTCACGTAAACCTTATCTCCTTTTTTACGCAACACCTTTTTAACTAGATATACGTCGGGATTAACGACGCGATGCAACTCGTACTCGTAGAATCCTCCAGCGACCGGTTTTCCACGGTAATCTTCCAGAAGATACGTCACGGGATTAGTTTTCTGTACTTTGACGATTCGAAATACCTCCGTGGTCCAATTTGGTGTGTAACCTTTCTCAAAGACCGTTTTGAATTTGCTCACGCGTACTGAGTCACCAACTTTGAATTTTGCGGGACCGGCGATCTTTATCGCGCTGTACACCGTATTTAAGAGCTTGTCGGCGATCATGGGAGTCACGTCGATGGGTCGCATACCGATAGTTCGATGCTTTCGCGCGTTGTACTCTGACACGAGACGTGGTAGCAAGTCGATCCATTTATAATTTCCATTGTGCGTAAATTGTTTCTACATGTCGTTTTTCAACGTGCGATTGAACCGTTCGACGACCGACGCCTTCATTACGGAATACGTTGAATAATGATTTATGTTGCGCTCTTTCAAGAGTTTTTGTACGTTTGCGTTGTAAAATTCTTTTCCCATATCGGTTTGCAAGTTTTTCGGACATCTTCCATCACCTCGAATTATTTTTGCGATCGCTGTAGCCATCTCATTTCCACTCTTGGTTTTGAGCGGCAAGGCCCTTACTCAGCACATCGATCACGGTGAGAATATAGTGATATCCTTTGTTGAATCGTTTGTAAGGGCGCATCTCGATCACATCAGCCTGCCACAGGTCATCCTATCCGTATGACACGTCTGCGTGGAAAATTTTTTTCTTGCTGGAGCGTGCAATTCTTCTACTAGTCGCAACTTTTCGAGATTTTTCTTTTCAGACACTTTTTTTCTTTTTTTTAATTTTATTCTTGGTATAATGCGTATAATGTCACAAGGATCTTACGCAAACGTTGTTGACCGATACTTCAGTGTCGACTAAAAGACGACTGCATATCCTATTTCAATTTATAATAAGCCCAGTTTCACGAAGTTCCTCGATAATGGACAAAATTTCGTTATCGTGAGCGTTGTGACCCGCTTGACGTGAAGCCTCGAGCAATCGGAGGCGATCCACGAGCTCGTTAGGATCGTCCCAATGAATATAATCGATTTTATTGTCGTTTAGTGTCATGGCGAGTGGTATCACTTTCCTCCGTTTCTTGAACCTGACTCGTCGGTTAGTGTCATGGCGAGTGGTATCACGCCCTTTCCTCCATTTCTTTTACCTGACTTGTCGTTTAGGTTTCTGGCGCATGGTATACCTGTTCCAACTTGTATTTTACCTGATGCAATGGGTGCTATTATATTCTTATATTTGTACCCTTTGTTACCCAATATTGGATTATCCGCATTATGGCTGCGTCTATGAGCATTTATTGCCAACAGTATACTTTTATACGCTAGTTTGTCATTCTCTGTGTAAATAGCGTCATCGGGAATTCTTTTGAAAATTAATTCGTACAATCCAGATGTTCCTTCGTACTTTACTCCATCTATAATCACAAAGTCATTCGTGTCTACATCGAACTGTTTGTCACCGAGCATGGTGCCGTTCTCGCTGAGATATACGCCATAAACGTGATCGATCGCCTTTTCTCTGTCACCACTGAGAAGCATGTTTACGTATTTTTGTCCAAGTGGTCCCAATTGATTATTCAACTCCTCACGAAATTGTCGCGTTTGCAAAGATTGCTTAACTAATGTTTCAAGCGGTTCATTCGGCGTTTCATAAACGTCTTCGACTGCGGGTACGTGCGAACGTTCGTACTATAATTTACGCGGTTCAAGCGATGCAGAATTGAATGAATCCGACGTAACGTTCGATTCTTTCGTACGTTGCTTTGACGGTGTTAATTGAAGCCATGCATTATCCATCCAGTAATTATCATCATCATCATCTTCTTCTTCTTCAAATTTTCTTTTCTTAGTATTTTTATACTTCGTAACGTTAACTTCTTTCTTAATCGGTTGAGATTCCTCGGCAGCAGTGTTCTCGACAATCTGTTTTAGAGGTTCGACGACAGGCTTAAAGTGTTTCTCCAATGCTATATCTTCGTCTATTTTGCCTGTTTTTAAAGCGCAATACTTTTTACGAATCGAATCACTCGTTTTCGCGATTTGTTTCGCTATTCTCTCGCGATCCTTGAGCTCTTTGCTGCTTTCCATGTTGCACTTACGCGGGAGAACACGTTTACTGTTTAGTGAAGCGATTGGCTAGAGGTGATCGAGGTATTAATCCGCTGGACGAGGCGTGTCGCGAACACGACATAGCTTATTCGCGGTGTAAAGATCTCGCGAAACGGCACGTATCTGACAACATACTCGCAGAGGAGGCGCGGAAACGAATTACCGCGAAAGATTCGACTCTTGGAGAGCGAGCTGCTGGTACAGCTGTCTGGGCGGCTATGAAAACCAAGACGAAAATCGGTATGGGCTTGAAAACGAACAAAAAGAAGTCTACGAAAAAGCGAATACTTCCTGTAGCAAAACGCGGTGGTATCTTACCTATGTTACCGCTGCTGGTAGTCGTAGGCTCGTTGGTCGGTGGCGCGGCAGGAGTCGCGAAGGCTATAAACGATAGTAAAGCCGCGCAACGTCAACTGGAAGAAGTGAAACGTCATAATCGCGTCGTGGAAGGTCATGGAGTTTATCTCGCCCCGTACAAGCGTGGCCGCGGAATCTCAAGGAAAAAAATTAAAAAGATTGGAAAAAAAAACGTCAAACAATTGCTAAAAATGCCAAAGGGTGTAACTACCAACGTACAACTACAACAACTGGCGAAACGTATGCGTATTCCATATTTTAGAGGTATTTTTATGCGTACTGCGTTACCAACAAAGGGAGTGTATCGAAACGAGAGCGGTATCGTAAATTTGGATAATGCCGAGGGATCAGGTACTCATTGGGTGGCGTACGCGAAGCGAGGAGATTGTGTTATTTACTTTGACAGTTTCGGCAATCTTCGGCCACCGAAAGAATTAGTGCAATATCTGAACGTGACGCAAATCGAATATAATCGCACAACTTATCAACGTTACGATCAAAGTAACTGTGGACATCAACCATCTGCAAAAACTGTGCCTACAGTTTTTACAGATGGTTGATGATCAATTTAAGAACTGACATCGCACTGTTTCAACTCAGTATTCGTTCAAACATGTCACTGACGTTTACGCTGACCGGTAAGAGTAACGTCCTCGCGGCCTGTTACTTTCCGGCCGTAGATTTGAGCAATGGTGATTACGAGCTCGGTCTGACGGACTTTGAAACCTACCACACGATATCTAATGTAAATTCATCGAATAATAAGTTTTACTTCGACGAAGATGACAAGGAAATTGTTATTCCCGAAGGATCGTACGAAATACATGACTTAAACAAGTATCTGAGACGTGCAATTCTACAATCTCGTTCCAACGATGTAAAAGAGAGAAAGCTTCGCAAAGAGGATGAAGAGTATCCTTTGATTCGTGCCAATAACAACACGATGAAAAGCGAGATCAAGTGCGCTTATCAAGTAAATTTTACTAAACCTCACAACATTGGATCGCTGTTTGGATTTTCGTCCAATCGCGTACTGGAACCACAACAGTGGCATGAATCGAACACGTCGATAAAATCATCCATGTAAACATCATTCGTATTGAATGCAACGTGACCGCGGGTGCATACGACAAGTGCGTACATACGATACACGAGTTTTCGCCGAGAGTGCCACCAGGATATAAGATATCAGAGAGACCGGCACAGATCATTTACCTTCCGATCATCGTACGGAGCATTACGGACCTGACGGTTCGCGTTGTGGATCAAGACGGACGATTGCTCAATTTTCGCGGAGAGGAGATCACCGTTAGATTACACGTGCGAAGGCGACAGCGATAAAGTGATACAACAACGATAACGTGAGATGCTTGTTTTGAACGAGCAAACGGAACAGACGAGAGACATAATTTTTAACAGAGGGACGGTGGCGATTAAAAACATTCGATCGTTCAATAGAAAGAAACTTACTGCGTCGAACGTTAAATTTTTACAATCATTGGGCTTTGTCGTACGAAATATTTGAGATGGCTGATATCTTGGATATTGGAGGCGAGTCGATCTTCGACGATCGCATCGGCAAGTACGAGTTTCACACATACAATCCGTACGTGAACACAACATTTGGTCATAGCGATGAAATAAGAATACCCATACAACAGCAGGATTTATACACGTTACCCTGTGAAAGCTATCTCTATGTCGAAGGAAGACTTACGTCAAAAGAAGAAAATGCGGAACGGTGGCCAAAGCTTGGAATTAATTGCGTGGCGTTCATGTTTGAGGAAATTCGATATGAACTCAATGGTTCTGAGATTGATCGTAATAGAAACGTTGGAATAACTACTCTTTTGAAGAGCTATTCAACGTAGGTAATTATTTAGATTAGGGGACCCAGCTCCGATGATCTTAACCTTGACATATGTTGTCAAGGTTATGACCTTGAGTGACCTCCCGCACGTTTTAGGTGGCGGTCGCTGTCCGTTAGAAAGTTATGATCAAAAAAAGTATCGAAATTAACGTACCATTTCTGGGAAATTATACGTATTAACGTATCATTTCTGCCATATATGTATTATAACAAGTACTATTTTACATCTCCTCCTGTGTAGAAACGTTAAACTCTCCACGCGAAGTAACTTTAACCCCCCCATCTTCACAGGGGCACTCGACTTCTACGATTGTACTGTTGCTATGATAGTACTGTCGGGGCAAACCTCTGTCGACGGTGTGGACAAGGTCAAGGTCATCGGTGAGGTGTCCCCTAATCTAAATAATTACCCAACGTATTCAGCTGACTTCACACATCAAATGGAGAATGCCGTATTTCTACATCCGGTGTTTGATTACGATGTAAAAAAATTAGTAACAGAGGATGGATATTTTAATTTTTACGTACCGCTCTTAATGTTGTTTGGCTTTCGCGAAGATTACAAACGTGTGGTAATCAATGCGCGTCATGAATTGATTTTGATACGAGCGCGCAACGACAACAATTGCATCGTGGGAGATGCAGCGACAGAGCCGAAACTTGAATTGTTCAAGATACAGTGGCGAATGCCTCACGTTACGTTGAACGAAGTCAATAAACTGTGTTGCGTATCTTGGAGAACGGACGATAGCTGAGTATGAGTTTCCGTTCGTGGGATCTGTACGAATATCCTCTATTACCGAGCACGGCGAAGCACTCGTGGGCTATCAAGACTGCGACTCAGCTCGAAAAGCCGCGATACGTCATCTTTGCTCTGCAGACTAATAGAAAAAATAACATGGCA